TATACTTCACACACTTCAGCTTACACTATTTTGTGTTGAATGAAGAGCTTTTAACATCTTTCTATTTATAGATCTTCATTCATAATCTTACACCTGAGTTGAGAGTGAAATGAAAATGCTTAATCTCATAGTCAGACATAGTGAAGAAAGTATACAATATTCTTATTATATAAGAATAAGTAAGTTAATTGTAACAGAAAATACTGCAATTAAGTATATCTCAGCAGAGAACAGATAATCAGACTTCTATGATACAAGTTATACATCTGAATGTGATAAATCTAGATCTGAATGTTATTGCTAAAGTATTAAATTCTCTGAAAAAGAGATTTTCTGAGTGAAAATCTTGATATTATAAGTATTAAGCTTGCTTCAACTGCAGACATTAAAATCATGATATAAAAGATTGCACTCAGTATACACAGTTAAGAGAAGTAAGAGAGTTAAAAAACTAGCAGAATCAGTGAGCTTGAAGACACTCACTGATATTCTATGAAAAGCCTCTAAAGTGAAAGAGATGTCTGCATTAAATAACTCTCTGAATTCTATGAATGTAAAGAAGAAGCAGGCTTCTGAATGAGATGTAAATGAGAATGAAGTAAATACTCATCTCAATGCCTTAAGACTCAAAATGTTAATGTATAGAAGACACTTGAATAAGAATTGAGAGATAGCTGTAAAAGTGTTAGCAGATATAGAAGCTTCTATATAATATATTAATAATTATATAATCTGAAGATTGAAAGAGATTCACTGAGTGAAGAATTTCTGATGCATAAGATTATCTAATAACTGATATTTAATATTATCTGTAAGAGTAAGAGTTCTCTTGTACTTCAGAGAATGATCTTGCTATATTTAAGTACAAGAGCTGCAGAATGTGAAATACAATCTTATTCTCAGACTTAATTAATTTCAAAGATTTAATCTGCAGATTCAATGACATACATGTCATATGCAGTTGACTGATAGAAAGAAAACAGTTCATACAATTCTATCAACTGATATGAGAAGAACATTTCACATCTCTGATATAGAAGAATTAAATCTGCTTATATATTAATAAGTAAAGAGAACAATTCACAAGATCTCATCTGAAAGCATTCTGTATGTTATACAGAATCTGAAAGTGAAGAAAATCAAGATAAAAGATATATAAGAGAATAAGTGTATAAAGAAGCTTCTGAAGAAGTATGAGAAGATCTTCTGAACAGATCTTTCATCAGAATTGCTGCTGAAATGAGGATTTATACATGAGATTGACATAGAGGATGCAAAACCAGTCAATCAGAATGCATACTCTCTGTCACAAACACATCTTGAAGAACAGAAGCATCAGATCACAGATCTTCTAGAACATGATCTCATATGACTCTTATCAAGTGTGTGAGGCTTTTCAGTTCTATTCATAAAAAAGACAGATGAGAAGTGATAGATATGTATTAATTATCAAGCACTCAATAAGCTTATAATCAAGAATGAATATTCACTATCACAGATTCAATAACAGTTGAATATGATTGAAAACACCTGATATCTATTGAAGATCAATTTTCTCTCAGAATACTGACAGATTCATGTAGATGAACTGTCAGTTTCATGAACTACATTTAATATGCAATGAAGAAAGTTTGAATTCCTGATAATATTATTCAGTCTGATTAATACATCTGTCATCTTTTAAATGATGATGAATATGATTCTTCATAAACAGAATAAAATCTCATATCTCATATATCTTGATAACATTCTAGTCTTTTCAAACTCATACAATAAACATCTGAAGCATCTCAATGAAGTGCTTACAACTCTGATAGAGTATAAGCTCTATATTAAATCAATCAAGTGTGTGTTTGAAATGAAAGAGTTGAAGTTTATAGAACATGTAGTGAGTAATAACTGTATACATCTCATCTCAGAGAAATTGAATGTTATAGTGAATTGACTGCAGCTGAGAAATGTACACCATGTACAACAGTTTCTTAGATTGATCTCATACTACTGCAGATTCATCAAGAATTTCACACAAATATCTATATCACTCTCAGATCTCTTAAGAGAAACAGATACAAATCTGTGAAAGAAGAAGTTTCATTCAATCATCTGAAATACTGTATGTAAAGAGGCTTTTCTCACACTGAGAGAACATATAATAACATTCTCAGTGCTTATTCAATCAGATCATGATAAATCTTTCTACATTGAGATAAACACATCTGAATAAGCTATCAGAGGCACTCTTCTACAGATAAGCAAGAACAGCAAGCTGCATCTAATGATGTACAATAATAGAAAACTATCAGATGTCAAGCTCAATTACTCAGTATATGAAAAGAAATTACTAGTGATTAAGCATATGCTGATGTTGTGAGATAGATATATTAACAACAGGTATATAATAACAGTGATCATGAATCATGAAAGCCTTGTCTATCTACAATCAATAATAAAACCTTTTAAATGCTTAGTACATTGAATCTCAGAGTTTCAAGTGTATAATCTTCATATCAAATACTGAAAGAAATCAGATGCTATGATATCTGACACAATCAGTCACAGACCTGATTTCATGAGTGAGAATTCTGCAAATCAGGCATAAGAAATATTCACATTAAATGCACTGAGAGAATGCAAGAAATCAGAATGAGTGAATGTCATGATCTCTCACTTAAAGAATAACAAGATGTCAGATGACAAGTGTCTTACAAGAGTAGTAGAAGAGATGCTTTCAAACTTCAAGCTGAGAAAATTAGGAAATGAAAACAATGTTATGCTTTACTATAATCTAGTATATGTAGAAGCTCTCTATCTAGAATCTTTATTTAGATGTGACTTGATAACTTGCATGTACAAGAAATTCAGTCACTTAGAAAGCCCTGGACTTATAAATGTACTCAAATCAAGAGTATACTGACCAAGCATGACTGAGGACATTCAGATATATGCTCACAAGTGCCTGAATTACCAGCTTACAAAAGAATCTAAGAAAGGGTTAGAATATGAGAAAGCACAACATCAGATAAAGTGTATAATACAACTGTTTAAACAATAAGAGATAGATTTCATAGACATATTATCACAAACATTAAATGAAAATCAATGAATAATCACTGCTATTAATTACACTACTGACTGATTAGTTGCAAAAGCAGTTTCAGAGGCAACAGAGAAAGTGATGATGAAGTTTCTATATAATGAGATCTATGTCAACTATGAAATACTGTGCAAGATTCTAACTGATAATGATATGAACCTTGTAGAAGAAGTAGTGAGGTATTTCATGAACTAGTTACAGACAAGACATTATAGAACAATACTATATCATTCACAGACAAATGAGAAGATGAAACACTTGAATGAAATCTTGAGCAACATGCTGATGAAATATCTAGTGAGCAAGCCTATAAGACTATAGAATGAATATCTCAGACAGACACTATTAATCACACAGATTCAACAGCATGCAGTCTTTAAGCATTTATCATTCTACCTGTTGTATGGATTGCATCCGTGCATCTCAGAGAATGCTTTGAAAAAGGTGAGAGAGAGAGCAGTTATGAACACAGTAAGAATAGTAGTTACAGATGCAGCAGGAACAGCAGTTACAGACACAGCAGTAGCAGTTGTGAACACAACAGTCACAGACACAGAATCAAGATTAAAAGAGATCAGCCACACACATACAAAAGCTAATAAGTTACTCCTGAACTGAGCAATTCAATTAAAAAGAATACAAGACTCACTTGTTAAGAAATTGAGTCTCAAGATAAGAATATAAGTTTTCATATACAATGAGAGTTCTGAGAAGTTTCAATCTAGATAGTTTAAGTCATATAAAATACTTAAATCACACTCTCTGAGAATGTATGCATTGAAAGAATCAGAGGGACAGATCTTATACAACTTAATCAATAATTCATAACTTATGAAAGTAAAGATGTAAGATCTGAGTGAATTATAATCATTCACAGCACTATTATCAGTATTGAAAAAGAAGAAACTTATAATTGAAAAGTCTCACAAAGTAAGAGAAATCATAGACACTTATGAATCAGATAATCTTACTTATTCTGATCTTTTCATAATTATAAGAAAAGAATGAGAAGTAATAAAGAAATCAGATGAATATCATACTTCAATAAGTAATAAAACTGTAGCTGATTGTATGATAATGCACTGCAAACAGTGAGTGCAACACAGTAAAGAGTAATCTCAAAGTGACAGACTTGTATATAAATCAGATTGCAGAAGAAAAAGAAATTCAGAGTTAAATTCAACTGTTTACACCAGTTCAATCACAGAGATCACAGAGGACAAACTATCTGAAACATCTGTAGACATGTGAAACCAAGCTATCTCAACTTCTGAGAACACTCAGAGATTGAGTGAGATTAGTTTCAATAAGCTGTTTACTGTAGTGATCTGAGCAGGTGAAGAGAGACAGTATAATACACAAGACAGAATTACAAAAGATGAAAGCTGTCAAACCTAGTTACTGAATACTGTATTATATAGAGATCATGTAAGAGTAGTGACTAGCAGATAAAGAAAAAGTGTAAGAAAAGAAATAATGAATTAGTTATCAATCATAAGAGTTGACTGTAAAAGATAAATGTTATTATACACATCTCATTCATTTTCATACATTACATGTTTAATCTATTTCCAACATCACATCACCTGAAAAACATCAAAAATAAAAGAAATCTCAAAACTCAAGATCTGCAAGGGATTTGAGAGCTGTAAGCTGCTCTTATAATAACACTGTGCACATCTCTGATTCCTCTACTACTCTGTGTACAACATTAATGTCATTTATTACAAGATTGACTGGAATGCCAATATAGAAATGCGCATGCATATGTGTAGAGAAATTAAAGAAGAGCACAGAACTCACAGAATCAGAAGCCAGAACAGAGAGAACAGAGATGAAAGAAACAGAAGAAGAAGAAGATGCAGAACTGAATAAATAACAGCAGAAGTCATCTGAGACTGAACACTTACAACCTGGTATACACATAACCTTCTCTGCAGAAAAGAGAGAGAAAGCAATGAGAGAAGCTTGAGAATGAAAGAAGATAGTCTCAGTGATGTTATCATCTTCAATGAGAATGACCTCTGACACCAGAGTAACTAAGAATCATTGTTAGCATACAAAAATCACAAAAGCAGGGATAACAATTACTGAATGAACACCTGCTGGTCTTAGAATTGTACATGCAATTACAACACACACAAGGCTTCTCAGAAAGAGAGAGAGAGATATGAGAGAATGTAGAAAGCAGAACACAGCATGCAAACAGCTCATTCTCATAACAACATCTCAGATAAGATATATGAGTCTCACACCTGTGAGTGTAAAAGAGTATAACATCTGCATTTCTATTTCTGAAAACACAGATATCTTTTATCTGCATCATGAAGTTAAATAACAGATACTAGAGAATAGGCTGATATAAATCTATCATTCTAAAGAAATTTGTCAGAGTGAATGTTCTTACAATATTGAACTTTACAGTTGTAAAAAGTTTCTTAATATCTGTGAATATCATAACTTCATATATAGTAAAATTCATAATAATTTTCTCTAAGAACAGAAAAATCAGCATTAGAAAGAAAAGATGAAAAAGAAAAAGACTTACAATCTTAATACTGTTAAGAAGAGAAGTGATTCTCTGAGATGAATGAATAATTATTTCATCATAAATATTTAAAATAAATGTAATAATTGATGTCTGTAACTGAGCTTCAGATAATCATGTTATATACTGTCTTTGTACAATAGATTATTCTAGAGATTAGTAAGAAGAGTGAGAGTGTACACACTGAGAAATATGATTCATCAAGTCTACACAATATCTTCTTAAAATGAGGAGAGCTGATAATGAAAGCAGAGACAGCAAAACCAGAGAGAGCAGAAGTAGTGAAAGTAAGAATCACAGAAACAGGGGTAGCAGAAGTGAGAGAACCAGATACAGAAGCAGGTGTAGAAGATTGAGAGGGAGCAGCAGAGGAAGAAACAGAAGAGACAGGGAAGAATGCAGAAGACTCAGTCACACATGATATAAACAATTCCTTCATTATTGCATTCTTCAGGTTCTTGATCAATGATTCAACATTGAGTTCACTATCATCAGTGAATGTGAATCTGTCAACATGTGAAGATTCTATATAAATAAAAACAAATATATCAGCATCTGTGTTCATGCAAAATCATGTCAGAAAACATAATTAGAAACTCACTGAGAAGAAGAAATGATCAAGAGTGTATAAGAAGATGAAGAAGATATGTCATCATTCATGATAATACATTATTCTGACAATTATTAGAAGATAAACAAGTTCTGATCACATTTCACAATGTGTTACACTTACTGCTAACAAACTGCCTGATATGAGCACTATGATGATGCTTGTTATGAAAATGAGAGGTCATTGCCAGAAACATGTACAATGTGATAGATGAACAGATAGAAAGAGTTGAACAGAAGAAGAAGTAGAAATCTGAGATAGTGATAGCATTTGATAATGATGATGATGAAGATAATGATTAAAGAATGAGAAAAGTAAGTGAATGAGTGATGTAATATAGTGAAAGTTTCTTTGTGAGAGTGTATACAGAATGCTAGCTGAATCAGAGATAGGTCACATGATTGTGAAACACTAGTGGCGAGCTAATCCGCATGAAGCTAGGGTGTATGATATGATCACATGAGTGTGACTGAATCTGGTGGAGGAGGATGTGGTTCGGAAGAATGTATGACTGTCAGATAATAACGCGGCCGCTTCCGAACTACTAGTGTATGTGTACAAGTGTAAAGAGGCCATAGCGGCTGCTAATTAATTTAGTGTACAATATTACAATATATAAGAAGCCGGCGTACGCCTGTAATCGTACACTGGCTTAAGCAACCTTTGAATCACAAAAACATGTTTAAAAAGAGATGAAATATGTTAATATACTCTGCTTAAGTGCTTCAATTGTAAAGAAAAATATGCATTTAGTTCAAAAGAATGTGTACTTACTCTAAGAACTTAGAAGAAGTGAAGAAAAGATAAAGCTCAAAGTACATGTAAAATTAAAGAGAAAAGTCAAGCTAGTAAATCTGTAACTACAAGCTTAAAAAGAAGAAACTCTCAACTATCTAGATCTTCAAACTTCAATTCTTCAGCTAAATATAAATAGAATTTGAATTCTCACACTTCTGTTAAGATTAGAGAATTGAGAAATGACTCTGATAATAAACTAGATATAATGTAAGTATTTGAGATTTCTACTTTTCAAAATAGTTATAATCTACTATCTGATAATAGTGATTAGATTCTACTTGATCTCTACTCTCTTTTAGTATAAATATACAACAGAAATAACAAAAAAAGTTTAAAAACTCTTTAAAAATCACATTTATACAAAATAATGTGAATAGAAACTCAAAGTGTATTTATTCTTATCTTCAAATTATATTTGAATAAAAAGTTAATTTTGTACTGCTTCAGAAACTAAATTTCAATGCTGAGTAAAATATATCATTTCTTATTCAAGCTACTACTGCTTTCTATCTCAAAAGTCTGAGATAAAGTCAAGAGTAGTGATCTGTGAAAGAAAGAGATCAAGATATTAATTTAATCTAAGATTTAATATTATGTCTGACTCTGATATTCTGATGAGTGATATTATAGATAAAGAGAATGAGTTTAATACTATACAGCTCATAAATATCTATAATGAAAAGTCATTGAAGAAAAATAATAATATCTGAATAATTAATAGAGGATTTCTGAACATAACTTCATTAAGAAACTCTATAATTGTAGAAGATTTTAATGCATATCATCTTAAATAAAATTCAGAATACAAAAGAGCAGTAAGAGTAGATAATCTGATTGAATGAATCTTTGAGTATTTAATAGATTTAGTTCACAAGTCTGATCAACAAACATTCTTTAGAAAAGACATGAAATAGAAATCTATTATAGATTTAATCTTCATGTCATAAAATCTAATAAAAAAAGAACTTGTAAACAGATTTATTGATTTAAATGAGACATCAGAATCAGATTATGAGATTATTCAATTTAATATTGAACTGA